CCCCCCCCCACACACACACACTAAATTGTTTAGTGTATGCTTAGGCATACATGCATGCTACGCCACTGTTTTCCATGTAGATGTATAGACGTTCGATTTTTAAATACCGCGTATGAAACAGCCTAGATTTGTGTCACAATAGACATGTTCATTCACAAATCCGAGGTGAACTCGACCGAGACCAGTACGCGACAATGCTTGTGAAACATGGTAGAGGAAAATCCCTCTGTGACGTCACGAACTAATTTTTCGGATTTGTGTACGGTGTTCTATTAATAAGTATTGGTTAATACTCGATTCGAGTTGCGTGCGGTGAGGAGATCGGACCAGGAAGAAGGCTCCTCAGTCTACGTGTACTGACGCGGTCAGACTTGTATATAGACAGAAAGTAAATGGTTTACTTTAAACTGGTGAGCCTATACACCGTGTTAGCCAGCTGTCAGTCGGCGTATTAACGAGACACACCCATTTATTCAGTTAACATACTGAATGACCCAGATTCTGGATTGGGAGGCCACCACGCATGTATAAGGATACACACACACACACAGAGAGTCGGCGTGTACATAGATATGTGTCGTAGTGCTACAAGTCAGCTGATACATGTGCCCAGTAGTATCTATATTACAATGTCAAAGCTGTCTTGTCCAGTGTCAACAGTTTAACATGGTAATTCCATCGAATCGGGAATATTTATGACTCAATGGTCGTTTGGTTTGAAAACAGAAATGTGCTCAGCAACCCGCTCGGCAGGATGTGAAACTAACATCTTCCGATCAATGCCGTTTGGGATATATAATGTGTTCAAATGTACGCTCATGTCATTGGTATAGTATCGGAATTCTGCTGGTCACCTTTGCTTTAACCTGCTGTCCTGTGTCGTCACACGTGTCCCTTGTCGAATTGTATCCCTCTGGAGAATTAAATGGTGATACGGCAAATAAGCAGGATGACGATGGCGGATCTGACAAAATATTTCTAACCGTGAATTTCCCGTTCTACGGACAGGATTATACATCGCTATATGTAAGTAGAAACACATGTACAACTATGTGTTGTAGAGGGGGAATCCCCCTGCTCTTCAATCCACCCCTCCCTACCTTTCTATAGGCGTTAATTTCAAATTACACATTCCTTCCTTTTACGATTTGACCATTGGATCCCAATATAGGATCTTTTTCTTGGTCAGTGCCCAGGGGGCCATAACAGTTAATATGGCTCACATAGCACTATAGCCCATACAAATCCGTGGTGACAACATTGCCCCTCGGCTGGCCCCTTGTTTGAAGGCCTAGGGACACAGATGACTACCGTCATACGAAGTAAAGCCGACATCCTCTAGGGTTCTAATTAGGACTATTTAATCATTGATCATTTTTACATACACCCATGTCATGGTACAATGCTAAGACCGGAACAGGCATCTGGTATGCCTGAAATACTGTACAGCACGTAACTGGAATTACGTCTCTCATTTGTACACAAAGCTCCCGCTCCACCCATTAAACACACACCCCTTCAAATGGATAACAGAGATGCAGGACTTAGCCTACAATAATCAGGTACAAGCTCGCTGTTAATTTACAATGAAGATATAAAAAAAAGTAAACTGAAACTTTAAAAGAACCGTCAAATTTGACCAGACACAACATCAAGAATCGTGTAGTAAAAACACTTCAATATTAAAAGAAACGATACATGAAATCATTGAACGACCGCGGATATAAAGCGGAGACATTCACATGTATATGAGACATATAACTGCATTAATAGTAAAAGCAAAGGCTTTGTAGTGAGTCATGCTAAAGGCGAGAAACTGAACAAAATCGTCATTGATCACGATCCCAACAAGTTTCGACCGAGACAGGCTGTTGTTACGTAATCATTGTGGTGATTTATAGATTTCAGACCACTTTTAATTACATTATTGTGGTGATTTATAGATTTCAGACCACTTTTAATTACGTTATTGTGGTGATTTATAGATTTCAGACCACTTTTAATTACGTTATTGTGGTGATTTATAGATTTCAGACCACTTTTAATTACGTTATTGTGGTGATTTATAGATTTCAGACCACTTTTAATTACGTTATTGTGGTGATTTATAGATTTCAGACCACTTTTAATTACGTTATTGTGGTGATTTATAGATTTCAGACCACTTTTAATTACGTTATTGTGGTGATTTATAGATTTCAGACCACTTTTAATTACGTTATTGTGGTGATTTATAGATTTCAGACCACTTTTAATTACGTTATTGTGGTGATTTATAGATTTCAGACCACTTTTAATTACGTTATTGTGGTGATTTATAGATTTCAGACCACTTTTGATTTCAGACCACTTTTAATTACATTATTGTGGTGATTTATAGATTTCAGACCACTTTTGATTTCAGACCACTTCTAATTACGTTATTGTGGCGATTAATAGATTTCAGACCACTTTTAATTACGTTATTGTGGTGATTTATAGATTTCAGACCACTTCTAATTACGTTATTGTGGTGATGTATAGATTGCAGACCACTTCTAATTACGTTATTGTGGTGATTTATAGATTTCAGACCACTTTTAATTACGTTATTGTGGTGATTTTTTAAATACTTAAATGCTATTCTACCGATACTAATTGCATGTTCAAATTGTGCTTCATTTAATATTTAAAACAGTATAAACATAATCATTAATGTAACATTTTTATCCTGAAAACACGGCCTGTATGGAGGATAACTTCTTTGCCATCATCATAATGTTGATGATAAACCGGTTCCATATATAAGCTTTATTAAACGTATTTTAAATGAATGTGGTATGAGTTACTTATGGATTGTTCAATATACTACAGAATGTAATACCACATGGCTAAAGCATGTTATTAAACAAAGATTGCACGACCAGTATTTACAGAAATGGCAGAATGATGTATACACACTTCATCAAAAGCTACATGTTATAAGATTTTTAAAAATAATTGTCATTTTGAAAATTAGTTGGTTATTTTTAGTGATAAAGATCGAGCTACATTTTGTAAAATGTCCACACTGTAACAGTCAGCAAATTGGTGACGAATTCCATTTAAAGTAGTATTCATTAATTCATAGAACTTAATTACATTTGGTCTTTATCTATATATATAAAATTCTATACCCAGACAATGACGGACACTCAAGCAAGTATTAAATATAAAAACACTTAAGAAACTTTGTACTTTCATCAGAATAATTAATAACAATATTTGTCCTCCTTGATACAAATGTGAATTTATTATGAAACAGTACTGTGTACTACCGACTACGAACACTACAATTACTATATATTATATTGTAAATAGGTTTCTCTATACATTATATTGTACATAGGTTTCTCTATACATTGTATTGTAAATAGGTTTCTCTATACATTGTATTGTACATAGGTTTCTCTATACATTGTATTGTAAATAGGTTTCTCTATATATTGTATTGTAAATAGGTTTCTCTATACATTGTATTGTAAATAGATTTCTCTATACATTGTATTGTAAATAGGTTTCTCTATACATTGTATTGTGAAAGAGAATAAAGTTGAAAAAAAGGATGACGATGTCCAGTAAGAGGTAACTAAATACCAGTACGAGTACAACCTCGCAAATACACAATTCACTATGTAACAAAATAATCACGATCCTTTATCGTTTCTACATTAATTTTGATTTAGGTTTTAGTTCAATGACTAGTAAATACTGCTTTTGTTTTTGAGAGAAAATTAAACCGATATTTTTTTAATAATGAAATATACTTAATGCTGTATTGCATTGACTTGATTATAAACTGCGATGCTAAATCAACGCATGCCTTTTTTTTTCTTTTATGGCGTTAATGAATGAAGTAAGGTAAAAACCTACCAAGGGAGATAAATAAGCACAGTCCAAGTCCCACTCGTTAGGGACTGAACCAAGTCGAGAGTGGGTCATATCCAGTCGTAAGGGGACCACATCCAGTAATAAGGGGGTTACGTCCAGTGGTTAATGATCACACCCAGACAATAAGGACCACACCCAGTGGTTAATGACCACACCGAGACAATAAGGACCACACCCAGTGGTTAATGACCACACCCAGACAATAAGGCCCACACCCCGTGGTTAATGACCATACCCAGACAATAAGGACCACACCCAATGGTTAATGACCACACTCAGACAATAAGGACCACACCCAGTGGGGGATGACCACACCCAGACAATAAGGACCACACCCAATGGTTAATGACCACACCCAGACAATAAGGACCACACCCAGTGGTTAATGACCATACCCAGACAATAAGGACCACACCAAATGGTTAATGACCACACCCAGACAATAAGGACCACACCCAGTGGTTTATGACCACACCCAGACAATAAGGAGCACACCAAGTGGTTAATTTCTACACCTAGACAATAAGGACCACACCCAGTGGTTTACGACCACACCCAGACAATAAGGACCACACCCAATGGTTAATGCCCACACTCAGACAATAAGGACCACACCCAATGGTTAATGTCCACACTCAGACAATAAGGACCACACCCAATGGTTAATGCCCACACTCAGACAATAAGGACCACACCCAATGGTTAATGACCACACTCAGACAATAAGGACCACACCCAATGGTTAATGTCCACACTCAGACAATAAGGACCACACCCAGTGGTTTATGACCACACCCAGACAATAAGGACCACACCAAGTGGTTAATTTCTACACCTAGACAATAAGGACCACACCCAGTGGTTAATGACCACACCCAGTCGTTAAGCATTTAGTCGTTAGGGACAACACCCTTATAATAAGGGACCACACGCAACCGTCAAGGACCACACCCAGTCGTTGTGAGCCACAATCAGCCGTTAGGGACTACACCCAGTCTTTGGGGACCACATCAAGTCGTTAGGGACCACACCCGGTCGTTAGGTACCATAACCAGTCATTAGGGACCACACACAGTAATTAGGGACCACACTCAGTCGTTGGGGGCCACACTCAGTCGTAAGGGACCACCTTCAGCTGTTAAGGACCGCACCAAGTCGTTGGGGGCCACACTCAGTCGTTAGGGACAGCATCAAGTTGTTAGGGAACACACTCAGCCGTAAGGGACCACATCCAGTCGTTGTGGGCCACACTGAGCCGTTAGGGACTACCCCCAGGCTTTGGGGGCCACACCCAGTCGTTAGGGACAGCATCAAGTTGTTAGGGAACACACTCAGCCGTAAGGGACCACATCCAGTCGTTGTGGGCCACACTCAGCCGTTAGGGACTACACCCAGGCTTTGGGGGCCACACACAGTCGTTAGGAACCACACCAGTCATTAGGGACTACACTCACTCGTTTAGTATCACACTCCGTCATTAATTAAGTACATGCACCACGACCAGTCATTAGGGACCACACCCAGTAGTTAAGGATCACACTTAGTCGTTCGATTCCTAATTCAGTTGTAATGGACCATAATCAGTCGTACGGGACCACACCCAGTGATTAGGGACATCATTCAGTCATTAGAGGCCACACACAAGCGTATAAGGGACCACATCAAGTCGTTATTGACCACACCAAGTCGTTCGGGACCACATTCAACCGTTGAAGACCACACTTTGTCGCTAGGGACCACACTCAGCCGTTAGGGACCACACTTAGTCACTAGGGACCACACCCAGTCGTTCGGGACCACATTCAACCGTTGAAGACCACATTAAGTCGTTAGGAACCACACCCAGTCGCTAGAGACCACACTTAGTCGTTAGGGACCATACTTAGTCGCTAGGGACCACACCCAGTCGCTAGGGACCACACCCAGTCGTTAGGGACCACACTTAGTCGTTAGGGACCACACCGAGTCGTTAGGGACCACACTTAGTCTAGGGACCACACTTAGTCGCTAGGGACCACACTTAGTCGTGAGGGACCACACTCAGTCGTTAGGGACCTCACTTAGTCGTTAGGGACCACACTTAGTCTCTAGGGACCACACTTAGTCGCTAGGGACCA